GTTAGACGTGACGGACCTGCTTATTTTTTAACTGCAAAGCTGAATGCCTCTTAAATCGCCCAATACATTCCTTCACAATAGTGTCGAATCCCTGCTCTATGCGACTTCTCAGGACTGTGGGGCCGACTGATCAGCGGAAGGAGGCCAACCTACAGGACTGTACTCAGGGCTAGTTCATTAATATATAACTACGAGGGCCCCAGATCCACGATATACTACTAGGAAGTCAACCTATATGAGAATAATAAATACTTATTAACAACTGCTAAATAATGGTCAAACACACGCTCTCCACAAACAAACATATGAATTATTATCTGCTACACTATAAATTGGTATGGAAATGAGGAGTTAGGTTGTGCACAGACCAACACAGTATGTGAAGAATCGTTCGAAACGTCAAACAAAGTAGTTCCTTGTTTACGACGTGTATGCACTTGGTATTAATGTTCAATAATTTCCCGTCAATGCTTATATTGACAGATCGATCCACCTTCAAGGGCAGGACAAATGTAAAGATCGGACAACAGTCGATATCATCTATAGAGTGTGAATGTAATTTAATTTACTTCATAACACACAGGAACTTCAGTTCAGTTCAGACTTTGTTCAGGGGTCCACCCCCAAAAAGTTAGTGTAGCACATGCATGCAGAGTTTCTTATTTAGAGACTGCTAATTAATATAAGGTCATATGCACAGTTTCCATTACTGGTGCGTAATATGGAGCGCATTAATCAACGCCAATTGTCGCTAAAAAATACGACTGGATTTAGTAAACAAATGTCTCACCGTAAAGAAGTGTTCCGCCATGTTGGGAAGGTAATCATTTTACAAGCCTTAAACCCATTGGTCGAAATATTATTACTCAATCCAATCAAATGAAGTGTTATTTTCATGAAGCTACTAAAATTCGCCCACAAGTGGCGTAACAAAATCACTTCGGCTGCCTTTTTACAGGGCAGTACTAAATGGATAAAACGTTTGTTTTCTCTGATAATCTCAAATTATCCTCTTATTACACAGTCATGTCAAATAACGGATAATTATATTTTAATGTGCACATGTAAAATTAAAATTATTCTCCAAAGAATTCACAAAATTGAAAATTAATTTGCAGTTCGTGAAGCTTCAGATAAAAAAAAGTGGGAACGAGGCTACAGAACCTTAACGCCACGTCTTCTGTGTCTTACCTGTTTGCGAGTATTCACCTTTGATTTCGCGGACACCGGTACGAATACAAACAGCTGGTACTAATACAAGTAAGTGTAACTTTCAGTTTACGATCATTGAAAGGTATTGTGACGACTATACGAACAGCTGTATAGGGTCAGACACATGGTTGAAAAAGAAAGAAACACACAAGTTAACAAAACGCTAATTTTTAAACACATTCATTCACTCTCAGTCATATCCGTATTTGGTATTCGTACACACTGCCAATGTCCGAATTCAAATTAATTACTATAATGATTCGACATGTTGAATCTGTCAACAGTTGTGTAGTTTTAAGAGATCACTCATCTGTTTATGTACACCGTGGTCCGTGATCAATCTCTAATCAGGACAACAATGAATCACAAGGTGTGTGTCCATGATTATCTTGTAAATCAACTAGAAATGGAACAGATAATCGATTTACTTGACTATTACCCGAGTAAATAAATGCGTTTTCCACCTATTTCTGCTGAACATTAATTTCTGTGTAGTAGATTACTAAACAAACGTTATAAGATATCTAACAGATCCATTCCCTTCCCATTTCCTTATACTGTATTATTCACTTGGTTTTAATTTCGATATTTTCGCTGATAATTAAAATCCGCTAAATTAGATCTACGTAAACATGTAAAAGAACAATAAAATAAATTGTTTCCTTGACAAATTCGCGAAATTAAACACAGTGAATATGCTCGAAACATCAAAATAGTGAAATTAAATGTCAGTGAAAATAAATGATTTTAAAGTAAATTACACAATTCAAGCTGAAATGGGGTTTCTAGTGCTTGATGGAAAAACGTTAGAATATTTCCAAATAACGTAAATGCGAACTGCGCTAATTGAGTTCTACTGCCCTTGAAATTATAATTGTTTATAAATATCAAGAAAATTGGTCTGTGCTTGCGATACAGTGAAGAGCATAAAGCTAGGATCGTATTTTTACAGCATCGTTAGTTCTAATTAATATCAACATTATCTGACCAGCACAGCATTCAGTTTGTTTTGAGTAATTTGGTGGTCACAGTAAATGCTATGTCACATGAAGGCATGCGCGCATTATGAACGAAGATTATGTTCTGCTCTTGAGCCAATCACTATTTGAATTTGAATGAGAGCTGATGATTGGTATTTACAAACTATAAATACATTTACAAGCTAAGGTACAGCTTTATGAACTTCACTGTAGTATCTGATTTAGTAGTACAATAATAACTTTCATGTTCATAGCTTTTGGTGAGCAGGGTCCATAGTGTTGGGAAAATCCGTTGAAAGTCTTTTTGAGGTCTGGAAAGTCTTTGAGTTGTCTTTAAATTACAGGAAAAATAAAAAAATCTTTGAAAAGTCTTGAAATTTCTTCATAATTATT